GCTTTCTGAGTCCCTCCCATGTGGAAGTTCTAGCTGTCTTTCTCAATGAACCTTTCTGCTTAGTGTTCCTCTTAATCTCCAAGACCTTCCTTCTTCAACTGAGGTCCCCAGGTACAACCACAGCACATTCCTCTACATATCAGCTCATAGGAAGGGATCTATGCATGGGTGACAGTTTTCCTCTTTCAAGAAGGGATGCATTGCACCTGAAGGCTCAGGTTCAGGCAGCTCCTCTCCACATCTCAGAGAACGTAGAGGGAGCCTAACAATACTCATGTTTAGATGGTTCCCAGCTCCCTGATAACCCTGGAGCTTTGACTAAGCCTTGGAGTGAGACATTACTTCAAGGAGGTAAAATGCAGGTGAAATTCATGAGAAACACGTGGGTATCTGTATATAAGCCACAGGGCTGGAAGCCTCCATAGATGACTGAAACTCTCAGTTGAGAAATACTGCTGTGGAGTACACCAGCAAGGATTCCAGTTAGCTTTAGGTAGCCCACAAAATGTCAGCTTATAGCTCCATAGATATTGCCAAGACAAGGCAACTTATCCCTCTTGCCATTAAATCTATCCTAATAAAACAGTAGTTGTTTTTGTGTTCAGTATTCGTGCCTGTAATCTTAGGTACTCAGGAGACTGAGATCTAAGGCTCAAGGTTGGAAGGCAGCCTGGACAGGAAAGTTTGTGACTCTTATCTCCAACTAAGCACCAAAAAAGCTGTAAGTGGAGCTGTGGCTCAAATAGCAGAGCACTAGTCGAGCATAAAAGCTCAGGGACAGTACCCATGCCCTGAGTTCAGATACCAGAATGGACACACACACACACACACACACACAGTAGGAACACTAGAACGATAGCCACCACAGGTCTAGATGAATGTGCTTACTCTGAGTGGCCATTTTGGGCCCTCCATTTTTTTCTGGATGTGTGACTTTCCCTCCATGTCCTAATAGCTATTACCGAGATCTACTTGCCTGCATTCCTACCCAATGTTGGCTCACATAGAAACAGAATGCACTAAAAAAGGTAGAATTTATTTGTGCCTTACTCTAGAAGAGCTTGTTTCCTCCTCCAAATATTTTAGAAAGGAATTAAAAGGCCTGGAATTTGTAAGATAGACTGTGATCTTGAAGACAGCTCAATATAGAGCCAGACAAACCAGAGTTTAAGTTCTAGCTTGTCATTTCTGGCATGAGAGGTCTCAGATGGCTAACCAGGTAGGTTATACTCCGCTAGATTTCAGTCATCTAGGAACTATACTCTTGTCCAGTGGTTCTTGATCTGTAGCCTGGGTAAGAACCACGATCTTACTCACACACAGATTGCTAGGCCTTATTCAGAAGGTTCCCAGCTGATTCTGATGGTGCTGGTCCAGAAGTAGAACTAGGGTCAAGCCTTCAAGTGTTCAGTCTATACTAGAGCCTCTGATAATTTCAGAGGGAGACCCATGGTAGAAGCACAGGGAATTGAGGAATCATCTCCCATTTACTAGTAGAGCTAGTTTCAATTATATAATGAGGATAATAGATCTTCCACAAAAGAAGAGGATGCAAGGATATATGTGAAAGCACCTTGTAAAATAATATAGTTCCAGACAACTGTGAAGAATTAAATATGGGGATTGTTATAAAGGTTAAAACTCAAAGTGCAGAGTTGATATTACAGTTTCCAGAACATAGTTCCATAAATATGTGTGAATAAACAGGGGGGGGGAAAAGAAAAAAAAAAAAAACCTTTCCATCAGGAAAAACAGCAACTTCCTCCACACTGCAGATCTCACTCAGTACTGGTGATACATGGCAGCAGAAAATGGTAATAAAGTTGTAACACATGAAATTTACATTCTAATCATGGGTGGCAGGAACCTCCTTCTTGGCTTCTGATCCAATTCATTATTCAAATCCTTTTACCATGCAGCACTTCACTGCTTAATGTGGAACCAACTGTGGATCTTGATAAGAGGAGGCTGAACTGCTTCCCTTTTGCTCTTGGCAATCCTGGGGCCTTGAGTATAACTTTCTTACAAAATGAATTGTGTTGGTCCCAGAGAGACCAATCTAATCTCCTCTTGTCCACCTTGAAGATCCATATCAAACATTACAGGCTTCTGACTGCCCGCAGCAGGAAGGGCATCTAATTCCATCTGTGTTTGGAGCAGAGTTTAAATGATCAAATAAGAAGCCAATGGTATGATAGAGATGGAGAAGCAAAGACTGCCCTAATTTTTCATTGTTTTTTGTCTAAAGTGTTCGATAGACGCAGCAACATGAAACAAAGAAAGCATAAAAGAGAAGCGAGTTTAACAGCCACAATTGCTCTTACGTATGTCTGTGGAGGAATTTGTAGCTTGCCTTTACACTGTTTATGGGCTATAATGTCTGATCAGATTGGCTTGATATGCTATGCTAAGGGAGCCAATTTCCTAATCCTCTGGAGAACTGTAAACTACTTTTCAAGGGAAAACAAGTCTTTGGTTATTTCTGTTTGAATAAAGTATCACTTATTCCTGGCTAGCCATTTTTAGGAAGGCTGAGTCCACTTCAGTGTAATTACTGCTGAGCTTGGATACCCAGAAAAATATACTGCAGCTGGTCACTCTTTTGACTACTTGAGCCACACCATCAATCCAGCATTTGGTTATTTTGGCAATGGAGTCTTGTGGACTTGTCTGCCTAGGCTGGTTTTGAACCCCAATTTCATTTAGAAGTTGATGGCTGCTGCGATGTCCAAATTAACACTCAGATGAAATGTATTATGTTAAAATTCTGGGTTGTAGGGTGGGGTTATGAAATTAACCAAGAAAGATGTGTGTGGACAAAGGTGTGCAGTGCTGGTGACAAAACCCACGGCCTCATGCCTCTTTACCCATCTTGTCCTAACAGAAGCCATGCCTTGTTTATTGTTCATGCTTCCAAGTTTAGCTCATGTTAATGAATGAGGGGTCACCAACCTCAATAGTATGTTCAAATCAATACTTCATCATTTTCAATCTTCATCTTTTTTTCTTTTGGCCATGTCAGTACTTCTTCGTTGCTTACTATGCAAAAGGCAGTTAAGTACTAATCTCATGTAATTCTCAAGAGTGCTGCAATTATTGTTAGTTCTACTTTACAGCTAAGGCCTTTAGGGTAAATCTGTTCAAGGTCAGAATTATTTGCACACCAGTCAATGATCTAATCTACAAACTGCCTGTTTCTGGGCCAATTGTAGATCTCCTCATCTTTCAGTGATCTCTAGCTGCTCTGCTCTGAGAACATGCACAAGGTAAAGGATCCCTAGAGAAACAAGAGGCCATATACAGGATGCTAGGGAACTATCAGAGGTCAAAAAAACCAGAGGCCTTGGTGTTCAAGGTTAAAAAAAAAAAAAAAGCAAGGATAGCAACATTTATTGAGGGCTAGAGATGTTGCTCAGTGCTAGAACATTTGCCTCATTTTGTTTAATCCCTGTACCATAGAAATAAATGTTTTTTAAAAAGGCACAGTAGCCTTACTAAATTGGTCACTTAGTTTTGAATAAACAGAGATAAAGATGGTGTGTGGGGGAGGGGGAAGCCTAGCTAACTATTGGGGATCATTTCAGGAACATCTATTTTAACTCCCCCCCCTGCCAAAATAACCCCCCAAACCAAAAACAGCTGGGTACTTGTGGCTCATGCTTGTAATCCTAGCTACTCAGGAGATGAGATCTGAGGATCGTGGTTAGAAGCTAGCCTAGGCAGCGAAGTCTGTGAGAATCTTTTTTTTTTTTTTTTTGCGGGGGGGGGGGGGGGGGGGGTCCGGTCGTGGGGCCTGAACTCTGGGCCTGGGCACTGTCCCTCAGCTCTTCAGCTCAAGGTTAGCGCTCTACCACTTGAGCTACAGCGCCACTTTTGGCTTTTTTTTCTTTTTGCTTATGGGGGTGCTGAGGAATCGAACCCAGGGCCTCATGCATGCAAGGCAAGCGCTCTACCACTGAGCCACCTTCCCAGCCCCTGTGAGAATCTTATCTCCAATTAACTACCAAAAAGCCAGAAGTAGAGCTGTGGCTCACGTGGTAGAATGCCAACTTGGAGTGAAAAAAGCTAAGGAATAACATCCAAGCCCTGAGTTCATGCCCTAGTAGCTTTACTCAAAAAGCAAAAAGAAGCATTTTTAAAGATTTTTGTCAGTCCTAGGGCTGAAACTAAGGACCTGGGCACTGTCCGTACGCTTTTGTGCTCATCAAGGCTAGTGCTCTTATCACTTTGAGTCACAGTTCCACTTCTGACTTTTTGTTAGAGTCTCATGGGCTTTCCTGCCTGAGCTGGCTTTGAATTACAATCCTCAGATCTCAGCCTCTTGAGTAGCTAGAATTATAGACATGACCCACTGACACTCAGCTTGCAAGAGTATCTTTTATGAGGTTACATAACTAAGACCTCAGCCTCTAATGATATATTTCAACGTATCATATAAAAGCTATGGGTTTTTACTTTGCATTGGGCCAGCAATTTGTATCTATTAATACCTTTATATCAATCCTACTACCTCCTTTATTAATGTCATGTTGTGAAACTAGGCCCACCTAACTCCCAAAGCATATAGTGTTCTGCTTCTGTGGGTACAGATTAACTCCTCTGTTTAGAAAATTCATCACTGAGCTGGTATTTTATTCAATGTACTATATACTAAAAATATCTGGTATTTCTATTAAGCATATTACATAATGTAAAAATGATCACACACTCATTTTCATTTTAATAGCCCTTTCCCCATTTTATTTTCTCCTAGTTAAGGGCATGCCTAAATGTACCTTAGAAATTTCCTATCTGAAATTTCAATACCAATACTTAAATATAAGCAAAAGCAGTGGGAGCATTTCAGTCTGGCTAACTTCTCGGCACAGATAAGCTATAAAATCTTGGCAAACCAATATTGATATTGAGTTAAGATTATGATGTTGAATACTTGAGTCAGCTTGGAAAAATGTCTGTTAGTAGCAAAGCTACAGAAGAAAATATTAAGACAGGACACCAAGCCATTTCCCCCTTTCCCATTGAGTGTTTATTTTGTAGTTTTTGCATCAGGTAGTCAACTGAAACACTTGAACAACAGAAAGCTGGCAGAGTGTTGAGGAAAAGGACTGATTATTATCTCTCCAACAGATGAGACAAAATGGTTTCAAATTGGAAACAGTCTTGCATAAATGAATCAACTGGAAGATAAGAGAGGGCAGGATAAGGGGATAAAAGAAAAAGAGAAAAAGACAGAAAGTAATGAGCATCTTCCAACAGGATTGGGAGGAGGAAAAGGCACTGAATCACTGTCTATTAAATAAAAGTTGAAATAGACAATCCATGTTTCTCTAGGTTACATCCAACACTGCTTTAGAGATGCTCATATACCTCTTGATAGAAAGCTACAAAATCTGTCTAAAAACAACCAGATAGATTGCACCAAGACTTCTCATAGGCTTACCAGTAATGTATTTTAAAGAGATTACCACCATCAAGGCCATTTTACAAATAGTACTACAAAGGTCACAAAGCTGCATGAACTTAAATTATAGGATACATCTAACTAAAGGACCACTTATTTTAGTTCCTAAAATTCCCATTTCAGGAAATCAAAAAAGCAAGCTTCACCCTGGAGGAGCTCAGTTGGCTGTGCATTGGAAACCAGGCTGCCTTTCCCCTCAGAAGACTGCCTGTGAGCAGTTCAGCTGGCACCACATGGCAACTGTGTGGACACAGCAGGTATGCGGATGCAGCACTTACCAGAGCCTCCCTTCCACTCAAAGTAAATAGCATTTAGGAAGAGGCAAACTTTTAAAACAGAAAAACATAAGTACACGGACCACTTAAAGACAAACTTCATAAAAGGTTACAGTACCAGGTGTTTCTCACAATAAAGGATTTGAAGACCATACATGTTTGACAATGACCAATGGGAAAATCCAGCAAGATGATTTACACAGATGTTCTCTAAGTATAATTTAAACAAATTAAAATACCAGCTATGCATTTGGGAACCAGCCTTTAGTTGAATTCTCTAGTGCTTTCAGAATTTTATTTCATTTTATTAAAAAAGAATCATTGTCTACAAACTATTTTTTTTTTTTCTGACTAGGCAAATACAATGAGCAAATCATCTGCAGTATCAAAATACTGTTTGGTAAATCACTGATGGCACTAACAATTTTAGGAATTTCTGATAGGATGTATAAAGAGAAAGAACAATAACATTTCAAATTATAGGCATCAGTTGTACTTTGAGGATAGAAAATAAAATTTAAAAAGTTGAATTAAGTTTCAGTTCTCTGATTTTCAGTCCAATCATCAGGAATTAAGATATAGCCAGTTTGTTGTCACAAAACTGTACAAATGCCTATGGGTGACAGAAAAGTAATTCCCTTACAATATTTTAAGTGTTGCTATCACATACATTTAATGATACATGACAGATTAAAGCTAAGTAAAACCAAAATGTATCTTCCCTATTACATTTTTAAAACAGTCACAATAATAGATCAACAGTTGCTATTTTCACAGCAATTAGAAAATAGGAGTTGATACAAGTTGAACAAAGATACTTTTTAGGAAATAGAAATACTGATACACAGATGACATCTTTAAAATTCAAAGTGGTTAATTAATTTTTGTATTATTAAAAAAAAAGAAAAAAGAAAATCTCTCTATGGTCAAAATATTGAAAAAACACAAAGGCTAAGAAAAGAGAAACCACATTTGCCACTTAAAAAACTGATACTACATCAGTGATTCTATTCTTTGAATTGATCATAAAAAGTCATATATTATGAGGACTCAGACTCTAGGTTGTTCTGGACTGGACTTTTGTAATCATATACACTCCTTTCTCAAGTTCCAAAAAGGACATTTCTACTGCACCCTAAGAGATAAAATAAATGTCCCAATTCTTAACTAGCAAAGACAAAAATACATACCTACATAAAAGCTTCAAAATCTGGGGGAGAAACCACATGAATCTGAAAACAATTCTTTGGATATAAGTTAGGAGCTTTTCGGAAGCTTCTAAATTCTTTCAGAAAATGAGAGTACACATCCAAACATGATTTTTCCACAAATAAAAGTCTCTCTAGTGCAGGCGCTTATAGTCTAGGATCTACATCTGATCTGTCATCTATTTTTGTAAATAAAAATTTTATTAGAACATTATCAGGTTTGTTTCTGTATAGCCTATAGACGCTCCCAACACTACCAACAGTAACGGAGCTGCATGGTTATGACAGAGACCTAAAAGATTTACTCTCTGGTCCTTTAGTAAAGTTTATGACCCCTCTGACCTAGTGTAGCGAGTACCACTCTGGCTAAGAGTTAATGCACCTCAAGAAAGTTCATTATGTACTCCAAGAATAAGCTGGGGTTTGTGCCACAGAAAGGAAATGTCAAACACCCACTCCTTGAAGTGATGCTTTACTTCTGGACAAGAAAGCAATTTGTGTGTTTTTAGCAAATACTTCAAAAAGCTAACTAAGGAAAAAAATGGGAAAAATAAAGGAATAACAAATAAGAAAAGTATGCCTAGTTGTGTCTCAATATTTTCATGTTCTTAGTGCTAAAGTGATTCTGTCCTTTCTTTATTCTGTCTTCATTAACGTTTATAAAGTGTTTCCTGGTATTTCCCCCTTCTGCCCCTAGTTAGTAACCTGTAAGGAATTCTGCCTAAAATGCTTAGTTTGGTGAATCCTTGTTTAGAAATTTTACTTGACATAAACATAAACAACATTCTTTTAGAAAATTGTTTCTAAAATTCTTTATCTGTTACTCCAAGAGGAAGAAGGTAAAGAATAAACAGGAAAATTAAAGTCTGCCAAACATACTCTAAAAAACCATAGATAGAAAATCGCTACCACTTCTGAATGGTAATATAAAGTAAAATCAAAACACATCTTTCAAATGTGAATAAGGATTTTCTGCTCCTACTCAGCTAATGAAGTCTGTTTCCAGGGAACCTCCTGAACTCAAGCAGCTGCTTGAATCTTTGAGAGTTCACAGGTGTTTCATATTTCAATAGTTGTTGAAACACTGAAGATAAAACACTTGAGAGGATATTTATAAAACACATTTATATCAAGATAAACTTTTTTGTCACAAAGCTTAAAAGCAGACTTCTTCCTTTTAACAGTTAAAAAATGAATGCTATGAAACTATATGTTAAAGATGGTTTCATAATAATACCTTACATTTATTTACCACTTTAAAGTTTTCAAAGTGCTTTCACATGCCATCTTAGTCCTCACAACAGCCCTGTGAGGTAGGTGCAGCAGGTATTATTATTCTTATTTCAAGGTGAGTAAATTGGGGCAAAGAGAGGTTAAGTACTTGTCCAAGATCACACAGCTGAAAGGTACAGAGACAGAACCAGAAATCAATGTGTTTTCACTCTTGTTGCGTACTCTTTCCACTGTAGCTACTGCCTCGAATTATGAACAATGTACTCTAAAACTTGTAAAGTTACTAAAGGTCATTTCAGTGACGTCTTAACCATAAAGTTAAATAAGAAATGCAAGAACAGCGGGTCTGATGACTCTGTCGACATAATAAAATGGGTGGAAAACCACTTTTGTCTAATTACTTAAACCTTTTGGTCCAAATACATAAAATATGCAATATTTACAGCAGTTTCTCTTTTTTTTTGTTTGTAAATGCAATGCTTTAAAACACATTATAAAGCACCTTAGTTAAAAATAGTCTACAGGTAAAAGTACAGAAGTAGGAAAACCCTACCCATACCACAGCTCACTAATGGAGTCATAATATGGACTGATAGCTCAGTCTACTGCTTTACAAATCACCTATGGAAAAACAAATATGAAACTTACTTTTTTGATAGTAATGCGAAAAGGTCTTAATTAGAACCTCACATAATGCCATCATTCTTAGCAATATCTTCCCAATATTAGACAGTGGGGAGACAGAAATGAGAAATACTGTTTCAACTCTTTATATTTTTTATATTTTTATATATTCATGGTTTAACTTGATTTTAAACACTAATGATCATAAAAAACCATCTACATAAATATGGGCAAATCCAACTACAGCAGAAAAATTTCTTAGTAAACATGATCCAACATTGTAGTAAGTTTCATGAGACATGACTGACACAAATTCGAACAAATCACACACTGCCACTATTCAGCAGAGGTGTAGAACTCAGACCTCCAGTGAGAGTGGAAATGGCCAATGGACAGAAATGGCCAATGGACTCATCTTCATTCATGGTTAGCTTAAAAAAGGATTTGTCAAAAGCAAAATACCAGAACTATCCCTAAAACTGTATTTCGACTTCTGATTAGACCCTATGTCATGTTTATTTCAAGTGATGTAAACACCTCCTCCATCCAAATAGGAGGTTAAAACTATGACCAAAATTTTTAACAGAAAAAAAAAATGCCTGAAACTTACATTTCATACAGCACTGGCATACCTGGCCAGTATGCAATCTTTGATGATACTGTTTCCTAACACAACTTAAAACAACTGTTTTATCCTTCTAACAGGAATTCAGGTGGTAAAGAAGCTGAGGGTGAAGTCAAGATAGCATCAACATTCTAGTTCAAAAATCTTACAGCCACACCTATCCTCAGTTTGATTTAGGGTAAATCTTTTCATAGAAAAAGTTCTGTGCGAGGATGTAGAGGTCTCCATCTTTTTCTCGCACAGCATGGGCTCTGATGAACTGGAACTGCTCTAGTGCAAATTCATAGAACTCGTTCTCCATTTTCCAAATGTCAGATTGCTGCAGTTTTGCAATGGTTTGTTTAGTGGGGAGTTTCTTCTCTGTGGTTTTCCTAAGATGAGATTTCTTTCCTACTTACAAAGGAAAAGAGAGAAAAGGTAAATAATTCTTAGAAAATACACAAAAGATTGATGCCTCTTTATTTAAAGAAATGGTTTCAAGTTAACATACTGAGAGACGGGTAATGTAATTGTCTTATATTAGTATAACTTGAGCCCAATCTAGAGACCTAATAATACTAGAACTGTGATTGATTCCTTTCCAATGTAAACCCATAAAAGACTTAACAAAATAAAAAAAACCGAGTAAATATAAAGATCACCACCCAGTAAAGTGTAGGCTGTTACTTCTTACAATGTATTTGTAAAAACTTGATGCAGTTTATTTTTTAAAATATGATGAAATATCTACTGCCAATCTTAATTCTAATTTCTAAATTGTACTTGCTAGAATAATATAGAAACTAGGGCATATAAATACTTTAGTTAAAGTGGTTTTAGGACTGCACCATGAGAAGCAACAGATGTTGTACACCTGCCTTTCTGAACCTATTGGCTATACTTTATCAAACAAACCTCAGATCACCTGTTTTTCTAGTTTTGAACGAAGATAAAAAGGTAAGGACAGTTTTAAAAAGAAACCACTCATTTAAATACCTGTACGATAGAGTTCTGTTGCACCCCTGAAAAACCGGGGCAAAGCTGCCTCCAGCAACATGATAAAATCTTCAAGCTCTTCAGTAACTCCCACCAGGAAGTATTCATTAATTAAGTTATACTTGGCTTGATCCATAGCCCACCTGCTCCCCACATTCCTGAAAGAAAAGGAATTAAAAACCTGGCTGTGAAATCTGTTAAGTATTTCTAGTGCTTCTGATGCCATACATTATGAAGAAAATAGATAAAACACATGCACATCCGAAGACTTAATGGCCTTTTATTAACCTCCTTTGGGAAGCACACCTGTTTTTAATTTCCTTTGCCTCCACATCCCGTTTTTCCTAAATGCAGTCCTAATTCAGACGACTGGAGGACTTTTGATATGAACATATATACAACATATATTCCTCCCATCTGATTTAATGTAAATTTATTTTTTGTAACAACTCTAAACATTCATTTAATGAGCTCTTTAACGAGTCTAAACATTGTGTTTAATGCTTAGTTTATGATTGGTTAAGACTTCTTTCATTTTTGGTGAGTTTAGTGTTTCCTAAAGTTTCTGAGAATAGAAAGGAAATAAGACATAACTCTACTAAGAATCTCTTATTTATATTTGTTTAAAATTTTGCCCTAGTTAGACTATACTTTGGAGTCTGAGCATTAACATTCCTCTCCTCCTCTTCTTTTTTTTTCTTGGTGCTAGCCCTTGGGCTTGAACTCAGTTCCTAACCCCTGTTCCTGAGCTTTTTTGAGCCACAGCTCTACTTCTGGAGATGAGTCTCATGGACTTTCCTGCTACATCTGGCTTTGAACCATGATCCTCAGATCTCAGCCTCTTGACCTGAGTAGCTAGGAGTACAAGCCAGGCCACCACTGCCCAGCTGAGCACTAACAAATTTTTTTTTTTGTCGATCATGGGGCTCTGAGCTGGGTGCTGTCTCTCAGCTCTTCAGCTCAAGGTGAGTGCTCTATCACTTGAGTCACAGCGCTACTTCCAGTTTTCTGGTGGTTTATTGGAGATAAGAGTCTCACGGACTTTCCTGATGGGGCTGGCTTTGAACCGTGATCCTCAGATCTCAGCCTCCTGAGTAGCTAGGATTACAGGCATGAGCCACCGGCACCTGGCCTCTAACCATTCTTTAACTCTAATTCTGCTCTCCCTTTTAAGTAGCAGCAGTGTGATCACCTGAGCTGGTGATTTTACCTTTCCATGTTTTCTAAGCTATTAGAAAAAAAAAGGGGACAGGGAGATAGAATGAGAAGAAAATGAATTAATGGATTTCTAAGGACTCTACCCCCCCCCCCAATTCTGTAGTATGAAATATATTAAACATACTAAATTTCCTTTCCGATTGAAATCCCTTCAGAAATGCCCGGTAGAGCAATATTCTTTTAAAAGAAGGGCTTGGCAGACTTTTTTTTTTTTTAATATAAAGGGCCACTGAATATTTTATTTGCAGGCTACATGATTTACATCACAATTGCTCAATTCTGTTGTTGTAGCATGAAAGCAGCCATAGATAATAAGTGAACAAATATATCTGGTTGTGTCCTAATAAACCTATAAATAAACAAATAACAAAACCACCATCTGAGAAAACACTGTGAAGATAATTTATATGAGGAATCTTTCATTTTATTTTTATTTTTTTGCTGGTCCTAGGGTTTGAACTCAGGGTCTGGGCGCTATCCCTGAGCCTCTTTGTGCTCAAGGCTAGTGTTGCATCACTTAAGCCACAATGCCACTTCCAGCTGTTCTGAGTAGGTTATTAGAGATAAGAGTTTCACAGACTTTTTCTGCCCAGACTGGCTTTGAACCGTGATCCTCAGATCTTAGCCTCCTGAATAGCTAGTATAGCTGTGAGCCACCAGAACTCAGCTATGAGGAATCTTTTAAATAAATTTAAAGATAATATTAGTTAATTAAAAATAGTCAATTACAAGTTGCGCTTTGCTGGTTTTTCATTATCTATACCTTGACTAACACATTTATACTTGTAAGGTTGAATACAGAGAAAAGAAGGAAGATAAACCAATTTATGCTAGCTTTCTCTCCCTACCAGCATTCCGAACTGTGGCCACAGAAGAATGGGATTTGCAGCCAGAGCTTCTCCGGAGCACAGTCAGAGCCACCCTCAGCCACACATTCATCAAAGGTCTGGAAGAAAGAAAAAGGAGTACCGGTTGAGTCATAGATCCATGTTTCTCCTATGAAACTTCCTAATATCCTGTGTTACTAAATACTTGAGTGGGAGCAGGTAGGAGAAAGTTATACAATAAAAGGAACAGGCAGGTTACAAAAGCAGACTTGAGATACTGAGGAAAGTTAAACACAGATTCTTCTCACAACGTTGTTTTATGCCATTGTAGATAAGAATTCTTCACTATATGAAGGATTACAAGTTGTCTTTGAAACTGAATTCTTATATATATTTTTTCACCAAAGGAAATTATCTATTTGAGATGCTACAGAGATACTGGAGAACAAACCTGGGAGGTTGGATGGTGCTGTGGGAAATCACAAGCTTACCATCTGTTACTTCTGGAAAGAGTTAAGTTGTGGGAGAAAAGAAAGAACACGTGTTAACAAGTCTTCATTGCTTCCACCAGTACTTTTCTAATCTGTAAGGTTAGATAAACTCAGAGGGCCTGTTTAACCAAAAATCTGAGAATGAAGACAACAAACTCCTTAGAAATGGCATAGATTAGGCTACAGTAGAATGATTCTCTTGATTCTGGCAACATTCACATACAGCCTACAGCTTATTTGTTCATTTCCTTTACAGATGCTTGTACTAAGAAACAGTGAAAAGATTCATGGTAACACTGGGACACTTAAATTTTATGTTAGTACCTCAGTTTAAAAAGAGGGTATACCCTTACTTAAGGACTGAATGTATCACAGTGACTGGGTCAGAGTATGCATTTTGTAAATGCCTTTGTATCTGCATCTCTCTCCACCTTTCCTCTCTAATAGTCAAATACAATGCTTTCTTGGTTCTCGTCTCCTTGACCCTCACAGCATTTCGTCCCATCCTCTTTGTGAAAAAGCTTTACTACTAATAAACTATTTTCTATATCTTTGAATCCTTCCCCTGCTTTTGACTTTTGTTGGGTCTTCTATATCTTTCTGAATGAATTATCCTTATCTTTGATAAAGCAAGCATATTAAGGTCCTTCTACCAAGTAGTCATTAATTTTTCTTAGCTATGGTGTCTTTGCCCAACCATAACTATCTTATTTTTTTTTAATCTACTTTGTATTTTTAGGAAGGAGAGTGTACCGGGGTTTTAACTCAGAACCTCCTACTTGCTATGCAGCTGTCAAACCTCTTGAGCCAGGCATATACTGTGTATTTTTAATTTTCATTCCCAGTGCACTTTGTATTGGAAATTTCTGATTACATTGTCCCTTGCAACTCAGATTCCAAAACAGTTCTTCATCTTTTCCATTTTCTTCCTCACCTTGAATCCCTGAGGCACTGTCTTTCCAGTGCAGTTACACTTTCTCAATCCTTATTTTCATGAGGATTTCTCAATATCTTCATTCTGGCAAGTTTGTGCACTTACTAGATTAGCCTTAGTAGTCACTAACTTCTACCCAGAAACCTTCTACCGCTTTGAATATGTTAAAAAAAATCCAAACTCTTTATCTTTCCTTTCATGAATGCTTCAGAATTTGACCTCAATATCTTGTCTAATCTCTATGCATAACTTCTCTCTCCACCAGATTAACCTCTGCTATGTGCAATTCCAATTCTCTATGCCTTTGCTGACTACATTTTCTTCCTAAATTTTCTTCCTCTGGTAGATTTACCTACCAGTTTAGGTTATAGGAAGATATAATATATATAACCTTTATAATCTTTCCAGTGACTACTCTGGCATAAAATCACTTTTATTTCCTTTCAGGTTAATTTTATATTGCCTTCTAACAACTAGCTCTTAGGTTCTAGATATGCATGCCTATCTATCTATCTATCTATCTATCTATCTATCTATCTATCTATCTATCTATCTACATGATTATCTCTATAACCAGGTTCATGTATTTTTAATGTGTGTTATCTCCTTAACTATGGTACAGTTGAAAACGTCATATAATGTGCATGTGTTTTCCACAGCACATAGTATAATGCAATATAAATTGTTTGCACAAAATATTTATAAACTGCTACTGGAAAGAGTGCACTTTGGGGACTTATGTGAGTATGAAAAACATAGTTCAGTGGAAATGAAGACAAAGTAATGGGTTTTTATTTTCTTCATGAAGCATTTTGACAGTCCTTTAAGAGTTCTCTCAAATTTGCTTGCTGTGTTTTTAAGGTTACAGTCAAGACTGAATACACTCAAGACTGTAATGGCCATTGAAATGGCCATTACATCACTTCTGAGTTTTTTTTCTAGATGGCCTGATTTATATTCCCTACCCCAAGCCATTTTTCTAAAAAAGTGGTTTTATCATTTATGCCAGCAAGTACATTAAAAAACCCCACTCCTATATATCTCTCTCTATCATGTTCCAATTTCCATGAAGTCCTTGGCTCAATGAACTGAATGATGATAGATCCCAAGGCTTCTGACTGCTGTCTATCCAATTTCTAACAGGCCCTAGCTCATGGAAATGTCATCTCCAGCTCAGTAGAGGTCCTTTACTGCCTTATGCCTCTATCTGAGTATAAGACAGAAGAGGGCTAAGTGAATATGGATAAACCCATAATTTCTACAACCATTTCACGTGTGCATGTGATTCTATGTATGACATTCAAAGATACTTAAACAGGTTTTGCTTTAAAATATAAGAAGCTAGCATAATCAAGAGAGGCTGCAATATTAACAGTTCCCATAAAGTTATATGTATACATATAGGGTATCAAAATGCATACGACTTGGATTAAAACTAAACTAAAAATAAATCAAACATCCAAGACAGCCATTTTAACTCAAATTCACTAACTAGCATAATCTTAATTCCTGTAGTCTTGAAGTGTTTTATTACTTCAAGCAACAAAAATTTAGAAAGCCTTCAAATCTAGTTTTAGACAATAGTTTTTAATATTCAAACTCTATTTGACAGACTAGAAGTTACTTCCCAAGTCTATTCTTCCTTTCTTCTACAGGTCAGAATTAGCCTCTCTTGCAGTGAGTTGAATATGGTCATATGACTAAGCTTCTACTAGAGGACTAGAGGGAGAAGTGATAGGGGTAACTTCTGAGTCATTTGCTTACAACAAAATACCTGGCCCTCTACTTTCTTCCCCTAGGCTAGAACCTAGAGGTGGCAAGCATAACTGCCAAAGAAGGGCAGAGTGGCAGTATGCAAGGAACTTAGGTTCCTAAAACATAGTGGAGCACAAAGCTGCCCAAGAGCCTGAATCTCTAGAGATAGCTATGTGTGAGACAAAGAATCTTATTTTTAACTATTTAGGGTTTTTTTTAGCAGCTTAACAACATTTACTTGAATTCATCACCAAATATTTTATTGGGGCAGGGAAGGTGGCTCAGTGGTAGAGTGCTTGCCTTGCATGCCTGAGGCCCTGGGTTCGATTCCTCAGCACCACATAAGCAAAAAGAAAAAAGCCGGAATTGTTCCTTTGAGCAAAGGATACTGAATAGCAGTATAAATGATAGAGCTAAAAAAGCGATATATATGTTTTTATGTACGTATGTATATACAAAACCTTTCACAATCTCCATAATGAAAATCATTTTAGGAAACAAAGTTAATAAGAAATAGGTGGACAGAGACAGAGATGTAGAGATATTTGGACAGTTATTTATATTTGGACCAGTACTTTCTGCTTAAAGTTTTGAGCTTAAGGAAGGATACAGCAATTTTTTGAAAACATAAAAAAAGGAAAACAAATCCACTATTATCTCATGTGGTAAACACGAAAACTCTAACAGAAAAGAATTTAACTGTTGGATGTTGGTTATCATCATTTAGTAAGTACCTAGCACCCTACTGTATAACACTTTCGGTCTCAAATGCCGAGCCATTTGTTATGCTCTTCTAGATACACAGACACTGTGGTGAATACTAGGAACTTTAAGGTGAGTGAAACACAGGCTTGAGGAAGTTCACCATGCTTTTGGAAGCAACATATCAATAGCTCAAGTACTGCAAAGTAAATGCTTAATAGCAGAGATTTTACTGGAGCATTGGGGAATCTTGAAAGGGATGGGACTCCCTAGAGGCAAATGACCTCAAGGAAAAGGCCACTTGGAGCTTGACCTTAAAGGTCAACAAAGATTTTTCCAGAATGAAGGGAAAAACATTGAAAATATGAGGAACAACACATGCATGTTTCACGTGGTGAAGCACCAAGGTAGGTGAGGGAGGGGAGCCAGGCAGGGAAAGCCCGATGGTCCCACCATGCCAGATGGTCTCTCCTTGCTTTGCATGACCTTGTGATCAATGAGATCCCACAAAGGTACTCCGAAAGAAGACTAAAAAATCAGAGTTGTTCTTAGAAAAAAAACTCCAGTGAAGCTCCGAAGTGCAAGACAATAGCCTTCTCCATTTGTATCCTACCAAATCCAAACCTAATACAAACCGTAACTCTCTCCTTGGACCAAGAAAATATGGTATGTATGTGTGTGTGTGTGTGTGTGTATATATATCTATATATATCTATATATATATATATAGGAATTCTATGCTTTCATCAAGAATGATACCACCCTATTTGTTAAGAAATGGAAAGTTCTGGAAAAAAAATCATGTTAAGTGAAGTAAGCCAGACCCAAAGAAATATAGGTCCCATGGTTTCCCTTATTTGCAACAATTATTATATGTCTAGGATAATCTTATCAGTTGAGCAGAAAAGCTCAAAAGCTATGTACATGTGACCATATAAGATGATGCTAAGTGAAATGAACCCCAAGATATGGACTCAAGAGGTTTTTCTTTGTTGTTGTTGTTTTTAATGTACTATGAGATTTTTTTTTTTTGTTTCGTTTGTATGTGCTTCCCCCTATGGTATATCCCCTGTTGTCACTGTATTTGATTTTGGCACTCTGCATCTTGTGTATACATTTATCTAATTTGGGGAGGGGAAGGCAATTAAAAAAAAAACCGCTGAAACAATGATACATTGCAACAATGATGCTCACAAGACACTATGTTGTAAATGAATGTTACAACTTTGGGGATGGGGAGTGGGGGAGGAAGGGATAGTAGGAAAAAACAAAGGAGGGGTAACAATGTTCAACAAGAAATGTAATTGTTACCTTATTCATGTAACCTAACCTGTAACCCCTCTGTACAGCATCTTTACAATAAAATAAAATTAAAAAAAACCAGTAATCATAAACTATACAGAAATATAAACTGACATTATTAAGACCAAGAGAACCAAAATAACATGGAAATACATCACACTAATGAGGAGGAATTGCAATGGTTTCTGTTTGTTAACAGCTATAACAAAAGAAACATTCAGTCCTAAAAGAAAAAATTTTAAAAATTCAAAAATTTTGGATCCTACAAGCTATCAACTATATTTGTTGTTTTTTGTTTCCATATATTTGGGAGCTCTTTTCAAAATTTCCACAATAAGCAAGCAGTACATTTATAATCAACAGAAAAATTTTAAAGCACATTGTTTAATAAAAACTTTTATTAAACAACTGTCTCTATGAGAATCTTAAAACTGAAATATTACCTTTTTGTCTCCTTGTTTTCTTCTCCTTAATCCTGGCCTATAGTCATCGCCAAATCTCAGAAAGTAATAGTATGAAACTAGTCTCTCAATAGGATCCCTTATGACATTAATGTAAATTGGCTTCTTCTTCACACCGAATCTGAAATAAAAATAAAACTAAAATGGTGAAATCAACATTTTAAAAATTATTATTATTTTTAAAAATTATGGTGAATATCCACTCATGAACCTGGGAAGCAGCCACACAGCCTGTCCTGAGTGGACCTGCCCTGCTTGCACAAGTATTTGGAAGGCAGATTCTCAGCAACTTGTCCTTCAAAGTATAATAAAGGGAGACCCTGAGATGCTGACCAACCTGAGCCCACCTGAGCAGGACACTCCTAGAGGCCTTGTGAATTGACCTCTGCAGCCCTTAGACATTGACAGGTATTCCATCTGGGTCCACTCTGTGGCCTGGTCTTCAAGTGGCCTTCCAACACTGGCAAGTACATGCCTGTGCTGTCACACCAGTTCTGCCTTGTCTGCACAGGCATGCCAGAGAGGCCTTCCCTCTATACAATCTGTGGAAACTGACAGGAATCCTCAACTTGCAGATGGGTAACTATGCCCAGAATTGCCAGTGAACCTGCCTTGTCTGAGAAAGCTGTATCCTATTTGGCAGTGCAATCCTATAGCCTCTGCAGCTGAGACCTGTGAGCCATCCACAGGCACCACCAATGCTGATTACAATAGAAGCTATTACAGGAATACTAAAACCAATGCCAATACCTCCCATCAAATAGATATTCTAGGATATAACACCAGGTTTGCTTTTAACTATGAGAGCTATCCTATGCAACCAGTAGAAGAAAATGAATCTTTCAGATTCATAAATATTGACACAGACATAGGAAGCCTGAAATCCTGGGGGAAAAGAAACTGATAAAGGAAAACTGAAAAATTAAAAATAAATAACGAATAAAAATAATGAAATCAGTAAGACAATTCATGACATGAATGGGCAATTCAGTCAAGAGAGATCATAAAAACCAAATAAAACATTTGGAGCTTAAAACTCAACAAAAATGAAAAATCTGGTTGAGAGTTTTAACACCATCTAGATCACTAGTAGAATTTCTGAACTTGAGCTGGGTATGGTAGTCCTACCTAATAATCCCAGCTACTTAGGAGGCTGAGATTAGGGGACTGTAGATTCAAGCCACAATGGGCAAGATAATTCTCGAGACTCCATCTGAAAGTAAGAGAATGAGTACAGTGGTGTGTGCCTATCATCTCTGCAAAATATCATGCATAAAAATAGAAGGAGTACGGAAAAACGAAAACCTTTTTTCAACCAGTGTGAAAATGAGCCAAAGGCATAGGTGAGGAGCAGAGCACCTGCCCAGCAAGCACAAGGCTGAGTTTAAACCAAACACACACACATACTCACTCAAAGACTTTCTGCAATTGTATAAAAGTCTTCTGAAACAATCTAATCAGAAGAACTAAGAAATATGTGAATTTAGGAAGTCTTTAAGATTCATAAGACTACAGTAAGTGAGCATTTTGCATTTTTGCAGTTTGAGTATTCCAGAAGAGAAGGGGAAAGTCATAGAAAACGTTTTTAGTGAAATAAATAGTGAAAACTTTCTAAACAAGTTCGGGAAGAGACAGAAAAGATTTCTAATAAATTTAACTAACAGGTAGTATAGTCAGGCATAGAATAGTCAAATTATTGGAAGAAAAAAACCCACTGAAATTGTAAAAACAATAAGGCCAAAATATAAAGACACATAAAAGGAACCTCCATTAAAATAATAGCAGACTTCTAGGCTAGGAGAGAATGGAGTAAATATTCTAAATCCTGAAAGAATACAGAAAAAGATCCAACAAGCAAGAATATTATGCTCAGAAAAGTTGTTAAGAAATAAAAGATTCCAGGTGAGATGGCTCAGATGGAAACCAGGAGGATAACATTTCATGGCTAGCCCTGCCCAAGAGTTAGAAAGACCCTATCTCAACAGAAAAGCTGGTGGTTAGAGCAGCCTGGCATAAAAGGCGAAACCATACCTGAAAAGTAAATATAGCAAAAAGGGTTACTAATGGCTCAGATATTAATGCATCTGCCTACTAAACACGAAGCTGAGTTCACCCCAGT